TAGCTTCCTAGTTAGGCTATAGGTATGACAGCTAGTGTAGAACCCCTAGCATAGCACTAACGCTTCGGGCAGACTACCTAAATAGGCAATCAAAAGTTGTATGTGTGACTAGTTGTACTCTCGTGATACTGATGTAATATATAAAACCAGTGCTAAAATTAACATTGGCCTACCGCTTGTACTAATAAAGTGCCGGGGGCCTAAGTGGTCACCTTAATATTTAAAAATAAAAAATAAAAAATTTTTGCAATAGATTAATATTATACATATCAGCTAATAGATACAACAATAATATACTAGCTCCTCATTCTGTAATTTCTATTTTATTTTGATATTTTACTTTATATACTATTATTCTACAGATTAAAGAAGCAAATCAAAATCACTACGATATATATATTGATCATTTTAATCATTTCTCTTTACCTATTCAGCATATTCAATATTCTGAGGATTTAGAATCAACTTTTTAACAATTGGAACATATTGATTGCTCTGTTCAAGTTACTACATTTTTATCTAATACTACTACAATCTTTGAATCTAATACTGAACAACAATTTTATCAATTTTCTGAAGTTTCTAAAGATATAACTAATATTCATTTTCCTATACTAACTACTAAGTTCTTTTTTTTCAAACAGTATTGATCATTTAAAAACTGATTTTCATACTCCTACTCTTAGTCCTATAATTCTTTCTACTGATTTAACTAACCGAGAGTCAGATACTGATAGTATTGCCAAATTAGTATTATCTAGAGCTTCTTCTTATCTATCTGAGGAACAAGAACAAATTTGCTCTTCTACCCCAAAAACTATTATCAATATGGAGCAAGAAAATTTATTCAATAATGACAACAACCAAGTTGAATATATTTTTATATACCCAACTATAGAAAATACTCCTATTGTTAATTATTAGAAAGCAAACCAACTCCAAAATAATATTTTTATAGCAGAAGTTAACCCTTGGAACTTTGCACTAGGCCCACAATTTCAACAAGTTCCACTTCTTAAAGATACTGTATTACAACTTTTTAGAGGTTTTCCTAACCAACAACCTTGGTATTTCAATTAAAGTCGACCTACTTCACCTACAGGTTCTGACTATACTCAAGTCTATACTGTTGATTATACAAATTTATTTGCTAATAATAAGTTTGCAAGTGATAATGAATCTGAAACAACAGAATTATCTGAAGAGAAACCATCTATAGTAGAGTTATCTAAAAAAGAATTATCTGAATCCAAATCAAATAGTGAAGAAGAAGATATGACTGCTGGAGATTTAAATACTGCTACACAAGCTATAACTTAGCTTGCTCAAGCACTTGAACTGGGAGGTAATGGTAAAAAGAATCTTATTAAAATTAAATCTTTTAAAGGTAAAAGAACCCAAAATCCTATTGACTTGATTGATGAATTTGAACATGCTATTAAAGCTAATAATTGAAATGAAACTCAACAACTTGCTTTGGCTAAAGCATACATAAAAAGAATTGCTAAAAAATGGGTTAAAGGATTTAGCAATACAACATTAATAGCCTACAATCAGTGTTGTCACATAGGTATTTGGCCAGCTAGTGGCCACGGCCAATGGCCAAATTTTTTAAAATTTTTTTTTGGCCGAAATGGCCAAAAGTTTATATAATAAAACTAGTAATATGATTGGCTAATATTACAAAATTAGAAATTTTTGGCCAAAGTTTGGCTATTGGCCAATAGCCATTGGCTGGTTGGCCAGTTGGCCGGCCCCAAAAAATTGTTTGGCCACAAAAATTGCCAACACTGCCTATAATGGTCCTCCACTTACTAGTTTCAAACCTCTCTTCAAAACCAGGTTTAATAATAATAAACAAAAGGCTCTTTGGCAACAAAACTTCTTTGAGTTAAAACAAGAAACTGATACTATAGATGCCTATATTGCAAAGTTTAAAAATTTAAAAGATAAAATTATTGCACTACTAAAAGCTTTTCTTATCCAACACTTTATTAAAAGATTATGCTCTGAACTTGCTATTCCTGTACAAGCTGCTAATAGAAATACTTTAGTTGGAGTTATTGAAACTGCTAAACAATGGGAGACAGAAAGACTTGTTGTATTTACTAATACTAATACTACCAAAGTTATTACTCAACTTACTAACCAAATTGCTAAACTTAGTATTAATCTTGCTCAACAACAACAACAAACTGTCTATACTGTTGAAATAGCAAATAGCCAAAAAGAAAAAGGCATTTGTCATTATTGTAAAAAATATAGTCATTATCAAAAAGACTGCAATACCAGAAAAGCAGAAATTAGACAAAATAATAATTTTAGAAGTAATAACAACAGAAACAACAACTATCGCCGAAACAACAATAACCACAACAATAATAACTACAATAATAACCATTACAGCAATAATAACAACTACAACAACAATCGGTCTAATTGTCCAAAAGACATTATAGGAGAGTCATAGTAATTTAGATGTGTGTGTGTCCACAAATTAAAGGGTTTGATTGGTTGATCTAATAAAAACAAACATTTCTTAGAAAATACCTATTGTTGGACTAATCTGTGATAAGTCCTTCAGACCTTAAATAGTTTCCATTTATTTAATAACTATCAAAGAGATAGAAGTAGATCTCATAATAGAAGCAGAAGTAGAGATAAAAACTATTCTCAAAACTACTCTTGAAATAGAAGCAGGTCTAGGGATCAAAGTCAAGAAAGATAAGAACCTAGATCCACTTGCTCACTCTCACTCTACTACCAAAATATGAACATGGCTAAAAAATCTAACTCAACCTTTACTTCATCTAAAAACTAGGAAAGATTTTTGAACAACTATTCTATTCGAACTGCACTTACCGCCTATATTACTGAAACAAATCGTTAGATTACTAAACCAGAACCTACTAATAATATTACTCCTGTTAAATGTTGTGTAGATATTAAAGATCAAACTTATCCAGCTATTATTGATAGTAGTGCATCTGTAAGTATAATTGCTCACAATACTGTAAAGGAATTAGGCCTTAAAACTAATTAACTATTGCAAAGTTTAATTGTCACTTGCTAATAGAACTACATCACGACTCTTTGGGTATTATTCATAATTTATCTGTAAAAATACAAAAAAGAACTATTCCAATCGATGTGGAAGTAGTACTTGCTACTTTTTACTCTCTGTTATTAGGAAATGACTAGTCAAGAAAAGTCAAAGCTAGTTATAGTTGGAAAACATGCCAATATACAATGTATTGAAAGGGAAAGAAAATTGTCTTAAATACTTCCTATGAACAAAAAGAAACAGCCTACATATATTACTCTTGAAGATTATGAATTATATAAGGAAGAATCAAACTGTTGTACTGAACTCTTTCCGATAATCATTTTTTTCAAATTTTTTTCAAAAACTTTTTTTAATAAATACATTATAACTAGTTGAAAAAGTAATAAGTAAGATAAGTCGAGGAACTATAGCTAGTGTTCTAAATTGTTAGTTGAAAAACCGAATAGTTGATAACTTTCCAACTAACTAGTTAGAAAATTTTTTAATCAACTAACCAGTTTATAATCAACTAGTTAAACTATAATTAACTGTTAGTTGTCAACTAGTTGTCAACTAACTAGTTGCCTATATTAATCAACTATACAACTATTCGCAACTAACTCAATCATATATGTTCACTAAAATGATAATTAATAAGATAGCTGCACAACATCATCATGCAAAGCTAAGAACAGAAAAGTATCTAGATATTAAGTAGTCTGAGCTATTAATCAGTCTGACTAAAACATAGTCTTGTACTCTGTTTTAGAACCAGGCCAGCCTAGTATGAACCAAAAGACTATCAGTTCTAATTTATTGTAGCGAACATATATAGCCTAATTTTTTGCGATTTGTTGAGTTTAGATTATGAGCATTATAATATACAGTACAAGTACAAGTA